CTGTACTTGGGTCCCTTTACTTTTCACCAAGCTTTCTGTCAGACTACTTGTCTTTAATATAAATGGATAATAAAACCTGTGAATATGAACTGTGAAGCGTTTGATGTAGTAATAAGCCGACACGAAACGATCCACTGGATGTCGAAACCACGTGATGTATGCAAACTTGCGAGGTGATTGGTTAAAATTATGTAGCCCATAACTCCGCTTTGAGTAAAAGAACATAGGTGAGTCCAAGTTGGTGGCAAGCGCCCTCGCACCGACAGCAAAGTCATTACAGCGTGTGATTTCATAATTCAAGTAACTGGCACCGATAGACGACAATAAAAAGCGCTCAACGGATGTCCCTCCACTCTTTGGTAAGTGCACGAATGCAATGTGCGCTTTTACATACTCCTCGTCGTTCACCGTTTCGTTGCTATTGTTACCACGCAGAAAGTAGTTTGGAAGCTGAGAGTAACTACCCACCTTGCTCGATTTAATACAACTGCGCAGAATCCTGAAGCTGTTTTGGCAAAAAGTCGACCAAAACGGAATTTGTTTTCTGTTGGTCTCGTAGGTACTCAACATTTCCCGACACTCCATTGAATTGTCATTGCGTAGGGGGTCTGCATCACTATCGTTACGAAGTAGTATAGAGGGGTTGGAGAGACCACTTTGAATCCATTGCAAGTCGGGCGCTCTACTAAAGTCCATTAGACGAGGTTCTTCAAACGTATACACGTACATCGAGAACGAACCCACCATGAATAGTATCGCCAAGCACGCAATTCGTAGACGATGTCCAAAGAATCTTGATAGACATAACGAAAGTTTCATTATCACTGACGCTTCTGGGATTCTCGGCGTATGAGTTCTATATATATATATCACTGTAACATAAATGAAAATAAACTGTCACGTGGAAGCACAGAAAATAAACAACCTTCATTAGACGGCAGAGAGTGCGTGCCAACTTGCACCACAGTAATTTTTAAAAGTGGGAGGTCACCTGCGCACGCGCGGAAATTGAGTCACAAGCGACGATAACAACACAGGCCAAAAACGCAAAGGTTCATGGGTATACGCTTGTTTATAAACAATGACACGCTATGGTCATCTGACGCATGCGCAGGTGACGACTCCCCCGCTTTAAGAATGCGAGTCGCCACGAGCGTCGTAAGACGAATGGAAAAAGTGCTTCATTCGTGCTAAGAGTTGATAAAATATCTTATTTTCAAGATATAAGTAATAAACCGTTGTTTTGTATTGGTTATGAGAGAGATGTGCACGTTACAGCTCTGCGCCAAGAACGCTGCGCTGACTCAATAATCTGACGCGCGCAACGACATCTAGATGCTCTGATCATCTCTTGTGGGGGTGTATATTTCTTCAAACATTTTACCAAACAGAAAGAGTCCACGCGTATAGATCAGTGATACATTCTAGTTTGAAAGATATGTGGAACAAGATGTATGTATTTGTGTACCAGTTGCCGCCCTGGTTTGCTACGTACGGGAATCTAGATATGAATAGAATAATAATTAATAGAATAATATACATAATCAGAATACATTAATGTGCGCGGGCCAGTACAGTACTAAAAATGAAAAATGGAAAAATAAAGTATTTTATTTCTTGGCTGAAATAAGTTAGGAGTAAGATTATAGTCATAAACGAAAAAGCAGTACGACACGTTGGCTGGTTCCCGCCTCAAGTGCCACACAAGGCCGGTAACTCGTAATGGTATCGTCAGAAACCTACAGCAACATACCCAGTATCGCCAGAAACCAACAGCAACATACCCAGTATCGTCAGAAACCTACAGCAACATACCCCAGTATCGTCAGAAAACAACAGAAACATACCCCAGTATCGTCAGAAACCAACAGCAACATACCCCAGTATCGCCAAAAAACCTACAGCAACATACCCCAGTATCGTCAGAAGCCTACAGAAACATACCCAGGTATCGTCAGAAACCAACAGCAACAAAGCCCAGTATCGTCTGAAACCTACAGCAACATACCCAGTATCGCCAGAAACCAACATCAACATGCCCAGTA